TTATTGTACAGGATTTTTTTGGCTATCCTGGGTTTTTTGCTTTTCCATATAAAGTTGAGTACCATTCTTTCTAAGTCTGTGAAGAATTTTGCTGGGATTTTGATGAGCATTGCATTGAATCTGTAGATTGCTCTTGGTAAGATTGCCATTTTATTATGTTAATTTTACCTACCCAAGAGCATGTGAGATCTTTTCATTTTTTGGTGTCTTCTTCAATTTCTTTCTTCAAAGATTTAAAGTTCTTGTCATACAAGTCTCTCACCTGTTTGTTTAGAGTTACTCCGAGATATTTTATGCTATTTGTGGCTATTGTGAAGGGTGTTGATTCTCTGATTTCTTTCTCAGCCCATTTATCATCTGTGTACAGGAGGGCTACTGATTTTTTCAAGTTAATCTTGTATCCTGCTACATTACTGAAGGTGTTTATGAGTTGTGGAAGTTCCTTGGTAGAATTTTTGGGGTCACTTATGTTGGGGTCACTGATCATATCATCAGAAAACAAAATTTGACTTCTTCTTTTCCGATTTGTATCCCCTTGATCTCCTTTTGTTGTCTTATTGCTCTAGTTAGAACCTCAAGTACTATATTTACTAGATATGGAAAGATTGTCTTGTTCCTGTCTTAAGTTGGATCGCTTTGAGTTTCTCTCCATTTAGTTTGATGTTGGCTGTTGGCTTGCTGTATATTGCCTTTATTATGTATAGGTATATTCCTTGTATCCCTGCTCTCTCCAGGACCTTTATTATAAAGGGATGTTGTATTTTGTTGAAGGCTTTTTCAGAATCTAATGAGAATCATGTGGTTTGTTTGTTTTATTTATTTTCAGTTTGTTTATATGGTGGGTTACATTGACAGATTTTCGTGCATCTCTGGGATGAAGCCAACTTGATCGTGGATGATTTTTCTGGTGTGTTCTTGGATTCAGTTTGCTAGTATTATAGTATTTTTACATCAGTGTTCATGAGTGAGATTGATTTGTAATTCTCTTTGTTAGTAATGGCTTTGTGTGGTTTGGCTATCAGAGTAATTGTAACCTTATAAAAAGAGTTTGGCAATGTTCCTTCTGTTTCTATTGTGTGGAACAATTTGAGGAGTATTGGTATTAGTTCTTCTTTGAAAATCTTGTAAAATTCTGTGCTAAAACCATCTTGCCCTGGGCTTTTTTGGTTGAAAGACTTTTGATGACTGTTTCTATTTCTTCAGCAGTTATAGGTCTATTTAATTTGCTTATCTGGTCTTGATTTAATTTTGGTAAGTGATATTTATCCAGAAAGTTGTCCATTTCCTTTAAGTTTTCCAATTTTGTGGAGTACAGGTTTTCGAAATATGACCTGATGATGCTCTGTATTTCCTCCATGTCTGTTGTTATATCTGCCTTTTCATTTCTGATTTTGTTAATTTGGATAGTCTCTCTCTGCCTTTTGGTTAGTTTGGATAAAGATTTTTTTGGATAAACTATTTTTTTTTTATTTTCTCGAAGAACCAACTCTTTGTCTCATTGATTCTTTGTATTGTTTTCTTTGTTTCTAGTTTGTTGATTTCAGCTCTCAATTTGATTATTTCCTGCTATCTAGTTCTCTTGGATGAGTTTACTTCTTTTTGTTCTAGAGTTTTCAGGTGTTCTGTTAACTCACTAGTGTGGGATTTTACCAGCTTCTTTATGTAGGCATTTAGTGCTATGAACTTTTTCTCTTAACAGAGCTTTCATTGTGTCCCTTAAATTTGGGTATGTTGTGTGGTCATTTTCATTTAATTTTAGAAAGTCTTTAATTTCTTTGTTTATTTCTTCCTTGACCCATTGATGATTCAGGTGAGCATTGTTTAATTTCCATGTGTTTGTGGTCTTTCTGGAATTAGTTTTAAGTCATGGTGATCTGATAAGATACATGGGGTTATTCCAGTTATTTTGTATCTGTTGAGGTTTGCTTTGTTCCCTAGTATGTGGTCAATTTTTGAGAAGGGTCCATGAGGTGCTGAGAAGAAGGTATATTCTTTTATGTTTGATGAAATGTTCTATAGATGTCTGTTAAGTGCATTTGAGTCATAACATCTGTTAGTTCCCTTATTTTTCTGTTCATTTTGTCTGACTGACCTGTCCAATGGTGAGAGGAGAGTGTTGATGTCTCCCACTATTATAGTGTGTGGGGTTTAATGTGTGATTTAAACTTTAGAAGTGTTTCTTTTACATATGAGGATGCCCTTGTATTTGGGGCATAGATGTTCAGTATTCAGATTTCTTCTTGATGGATTTTTCCTGTGACTAATATGAAATGTCCTTATTTGTCATTTTTGATTGATTTTAGTTTGAAGTCTATTTTGTTAGATATTAGGATAGCTATACCTGCTTGTTTCTTAGGTCCATTTGATTGGAAAATTTTTCCCAACCCTTTACTTTGAGGTGATGTCTGTCTTTAAGGTTGAATTGTGTTTCTTGTATGCTGAAGTAGGATTAATTCTGTTCTCATATCCAATCTGTTAGCCTGTGTCTTTTATAGGAGAGTTGAGTCCATTTATATTAAGGAATATTAATGACCAATGATTGCTAGTTCCTTTTATGTTTCATTGTAGGTGATATTATGGTGTGTTTTTTCCATTCTTTGGGATTTGCTGCTGTGAGATCATCTATGTTCTGTGTTTTTGTGGATGTAGCTAACTTTCTTGGGTTGGAGTTTTTCTTGTAGTACTTTTGTAGGGCTGGGTTTGTGAATAGATATTGGTTAAATATGGTTCTGTCATGGAATATCTTGTTTTGTCCACCTATGGTGATTGAAAGTTTTGCTGGGTATAGTAGTCTGGGCTGGCATCTGTGGTCTCTTAATGTCTGCATAACACTTGACCACGACCTGGCTTTCATTGTCTCTTCTCATTGTCAATGAGAAGTCAGGTGTAATTCTGATAGGTCCACCTTTATGTGTTACTTGGCCTTTTTCCTTTGCAGCTCTTAATATTCTTCCTTTATTCTGTATGTTTAGTATTTTGATTATTATGTGGCAAGGGGACCTTTTTTTCCTCATTCCAGTCTATTTGGTGTTCTGTAAGCTTTCTGTATCTTCATAGGAATATCTTCCTTTAGATTGGGAAAGTTTTCTTCTATGATTTTGTTAAATATATTTTCTGTGCTTTTTAGTTGGACTTATCCTTTTATCCGTTATTCTTAAGCTTGGTCTTTTCATGGTCTCTTAAATTTCCTGGATATAGTCCTGTATTAATCTTTTGTTAGATGTAATATTTTCTTTGCCCAATGAGTCTATTTCCTCTATTGTATCTTTAGCACTTGAGATTCTCTCTTCTTTCTCTTGTATTCTGCTGTTTATGCTTGCATTTGTGATTCCTGAGCATTTTCTCATATTTTCTGTTTCCAGAATTTCCTTGGTTTGTGTTTGCTTTATTGTCTTTATTCTGTTTTCAAGTCTTGAATCATTCCTTTCATCTGTTTGATTGCTTTCTCATGGTTTTCTTTAAGTGATTTGTTGATTTCTTCCAATTTTTTGTTTGTCTTTTCCTCCAATTTTTTGAGGGAATTTTTCATTTCCTTTTAAAGCACCTCAAACATTATCCTAAAGTTATTTTTTAGGTCATTTTCTTCTGCTTCATCTATATTTGGGTGTTTAAGTCTTGCTGTTGTAGGGCCACTAGTTTTTGTTGATGTCGTGTTGCTCTTTGTGGTGTTGAGTGTGTTCTTACCTTGTCTACCTATCTTTTTCTCTGATTGGTGTAGTTGGGGCTGTGTCTCTGGTGATAAATCTTCCTGGTGCCAGTGGATCTGAGGCTTAGATGGTTGCTCCTCCTGGTGCTGTCAGGGCCACGGTTCCAGTCACCCCGGAGGTCATGTGGTGTTCCTGGAGGTCGCTCAGCGCTCAGGGAATTGGTCTGCAATCCTGGAGGTTGTTCAGGCCTGTTCCTATGGAGCTTGCTTGTTTGGGGCTGCTCCTGCTGAGGTCACTGTCTTAGGCCTGCTCCTGCAGAGGTCTCTGGCTCAGGCCTGCTCCTGCAAGAGGTCGCTGGCGCTTTCTTTTTTCACAGCCTACTGTTCTTTATTATGTCTTTTGATGATCAATTTTGAGAAGTTGGAAGAAGAAAAAGGTAGATGCATATAATCTGTGACTTGGGGCTGTTACCTACAAACAAGTTAATGGCTCTGGTGTCACAGTGGCCAGAGAATGCCCAATGGCACAGCTTCCAGACAAAGGGACTGCTAGCCTTGTTTTCCTGTCTCTCCACCTGCACTGAAGCCTGTCTCGGTTCAAACTCCGACAGCCTTTCCGAGAACCCACACTCTCTCCCCAGGTCCTCTCCCTGAAACACTCATCAGAAGCTACCAAGCCCCTCACAAAGCGTGCCCAGGGAAAATCCCATTTCTTTTTCGGGGCTCCCCTTTCCCGTTTGCAGTTGAGATGGAATTAAAGGAGAGGGAGTTGGACTGAATCAATGTGTTCCTTTTTTATGTTTTTAATGGTCCTAGGGGTTGAAACAAGGGCCTCACATATTCGAGGCAAGTTCTCCACCTTCCTCACCTTCTCAGTGCTGGCTACAGACTGGGGTCAGCAAGGAGACTCGTGAAGGAGTAGGTGTGTGTGGTGAACAGATGGGAGGCATCTGTCCTTAGCCTTGCTTGACAAAAACTGTCACATCTGTTCAGGTTCACTGGGACAAAGAGGACTTGCTGCTGGCTCTGGGGATGTGTTCCAGAACTAAGCAAAACGCTGAGCCAGAATATAAGGCTTGGCATAGGGCTTCCTACTGAGTTTGGAGGGGACATCTCCATGTGGTTGGCATTGTGAGGGTAGGCACTCCCCATCTTCACTTCCACATAGAGCAGGGCTCAGTTATAGGTGCTGTTGACACACTTGGGAAAGCCGCTCCTCTTCCATGTGGCTTCTGGTGGACCTTCCAGAATGTAAGTCCTATAGCCCCAGGTTTCCCAAGGCAACTGCTGGAGAGCATTAGGAAGCAGGACCTGTGTCCAAGCCTCCTGTGATGCTGACCCCCATCTCTTTCAGATGCATTTTGTCTTCTCAGATGAGGCTGTGCTTCTGTTTGATTTCTGGAGAGTCCACAGTCCTACAGGTAAGATTCGGGAAAGTCAGTGCCAGGCGGCAGAAAACCTGGGTTCTCTTTATTTTCTGTGGGCAGTGAAGGCACATTGAGCTAGAACTGTGCATTTATTATTCAAAGGCAGGCTGGAAATAATTCAGATGCCTGCTCTGGCAGTTATGCCCTTCCCTTCAATGGATGGCCATTGTCCAGCTACAGACTAAGCCGTGAAGTATAACACCACTTTGTTAGTATCTCACTACGATTCTGTGGGTTGGCTATGCTAACTAAGCAGTCTACACTCAGGGCCTCTCATGCAGTGGAGCTAGACAGTGGCTAGATACAGTCTTTTGAGAAGTGTTTAGAGTCTTGTCCTTGTTGTGAGCTGCAGCCTCAGCTGGGCTTCATCTGAGCCTCACAGTGGCTCTTCCTATAGTGTGGGCTTCCTCACGGTAGAATGGCTAGGTTTTAAGAGCAAGTATCCTAAAAAGAACATGGGTAAAATGCATGAAGGTAAGAAGACTCAGTTGGTGCTTGCTGAATTAGCATCAAGACCTTAATTTGGTTCCTAGCACCCATGTAAAAGACAGGCATGGCAGCATCCACTGTAATCCTTGCACTGAAGAGTAGAGACAGGAGAATTCCTGGGACTTGCTAGCCAGGCAGCCTATCTTTAGCTTCAGCAAGAGATGCAGTCTAAAAAAAACAAGGTAGAGAACACTAGAAGATACCTAATGTTGACCCCTGATTTCTACACACATGTGCATGCACACACATGAATATGCACACATACACACATTCATATAAAAAAAAATAAAACCTACACTTTGAAGTTACATAGCATTATCTTCACTTATTGACTGATCCTTTGACCCTTCCAGACTAAAAGGGAGGGAACATGGCTCCCATCTCATGTTTGGAAGGAGGGTGCGGGTAGGATATATGGGAGTGAACATCTTTGAAACTTACACTCTATCATAGATACTATAGAGTAACCTGGGAAAAATAAGGCAGATGGGTATGAACAGAAGGGAGGCCATGTCCTGTGGGAGTTGGATGATGAAGCTGGATGCAAGTGAGTAAAATCAAGGCTATGACCCAACAACTGCCATCAATCATTTGCTGAAGCAACTCTTAGAACTCAGGGAAATGCTTTACATAGGCATAAATAAGCCACTAGCCGGTGGTGATCAACTCAGCCTGCAGCCTGTCTGTTCCCAGAGTCTAGGAGCAAGGCTGAGTGTTCCAGTCTTCTTATGGAATACTGGTTCCTCTCCTTCCTGAGGTACTGACCTACTTAGGAGCTTCAACCACAAGTCGTTGGCACATATAAGCTCCCACTAGCAAGTGTTTATTGAATACAGGGTATCTTAGTCTTTAGCCCAAGCTGGTTGTAAACTCACAATCCACCTACCTCAGCTTCCTCAGTGCTGAGATCACAGGTATGCACTACCATTCCTAGTTCCAAATATATTCTTATGCCATAAAGCCTCATAAAATACTTTGGATTATCTTGTGTTGTAAAACACAGGTAGCATCAGAGTTCATTTTCCTAGAGGCACAAATAAATACTTACTATTCTCTAACTTGTTGGATTTTTCTCTATAAATGTAATACGTGGAATACTAATAGACAATATTTAGGAAAATTGGGCAAAGAGGAAAATAAACACCCACTGTGTTCTAACTTGTTGCTCTCCTGCCATACCCTCTCCCAGGGTTTCTGGTATACCTACACGTGAAAAATGTATGCCTCTAGGTATACACCCCTCCATTTGCAAGAAATCTTTATAGAGATGTGTGCAGAATGTGGGGGAGCTATTTGGATAGTGCTGTGTAGCTTCTTCACCCTCAAACCCTGGCTCTGCCGAATGAGAAACCACATTCCAGTATGTCAGAACTACTAAGAAATGTCTAGAGAAGCAAAGGGATGATGAAGGTCTGAGCTTAATGAAGGTGAGGAGGAAGAGACCAGTGGCTGGAGTGGATTCAGAGTGAGTGGAGAGTGGGCTGTCCTGACTCCTGGGATAGTCCCCTGGGGAGTCTGGGGGAGAAGCAGTGCTTTTCAGTGAGCTCTACAGCCTGGCTTGCTTGTTCTGAGGCACTGGGGATCAAACCTTGAGCTTCACTTGTGCTAGGCAAGCATTCTGTCTCTGGGCCTTTTTACTTTTTGAGATATAGTCTCACTAAATTGTTTAGGTTAGCTTGGAATCCACTCTAGTCCAGGCCAGCAGTAAACTGTGATCTCTCAGCCATCAGAGTACCTGGAGTTACATACAGCCTGTGCCCAACATCCATCTTGCTTCTTTATTTATATGCATGTACACTTATGTGTGGAAGTGGATGTGCATCTGTGTGCATGTCCATGTGCATGTCAGAAGACAACCTTGACTGTTCATCAGATGGCATCCTTGTTTTTAAGACAGGGTGTCTAACTGACTTGGAATCTGCCTAGTAAGCTAGGCCGGACTAGCCAGCAAGCCCAGGTATCCGGCTGTGTTGGCTTCCCCAGTGCTGGGAATACAGCAGAGGTGGCTGCTGCCGCTGCCGCTGCCACCAGTTCCTACTTCCTCTTCTTCTCCTCCTCCTTCTCAGAAATCTACTTCTACTTGTTAATGCATGTCACCACACCTGACCCACTTACTTATCTTTAACTAGCAAAAACTGTCCATCTTATGTGGCGCTTTGAGATGTTTCAGTACATGCCTAGGTTAAGTAGCATTCAAATCAGGGCCAGCCTACCTGTGTCTTCATATTTCTATCATTTGTTCATGATGAGAACATGTAAAATCCTCTCCTAGCTTTTATGAAACGTGATACACTATTATTATCTGCAATCGCCATGCAGGACATGGCACACCCAAACCTATTTTTCACCTTTGCCTCTTCACAGGCATGGCCCTCTCAGTGCTGGTTGTCTTGCTCCTGGCTGTACTGTATGAAGGCATCAAGGTTGCCAAAGCCAAGTTGCTCCAGAAGACTCTGGAGAACCTGCCTAATACCACTAGCCAGCAGCTCATCCTGGAATCAGACCAGGATTCTACAGGCTCCAGATCAACTCCAGCCAATGGCCACCGCCTCAGGTACAAACCATGAGTAGGATGGCCAGAGCAGTCACTCTCGCCTGTCAGGTGGCTGGGCCCAGAGAACATTAGCCTCACACATAGAAAGATAATTTGGGCCCCAGGGAGTATTTAGTAAGATGAATTAGAGCCCAGGTCTATGGTATCTGGGCCAAAGCTACCTATCGAGCAGCCTCTTGTTGGATCCCAAGGATTTCTCAGAGAACTGCAGGGAACTTTAAACCTATGCTGCAGGCCTGTCACCAGGCTCCCAAACACAAGAGAACTGCAGCTGTACCGAAGCAAGAACTGCAAGTGTCCCACTTGATGGGAGAGGGAGGCATGTTTTCTGTGCTGCAGGCCCTGCCTGCAACCTCACCTATGCTTAACGAGTGTGCCTGCTACATCACCTTACCTGGGTGTCTCATAACCATCCAGTGTTTTACTGATTAAAAAAAAAAATTACTCAAAAGGTTCAGAGATTTAATAGGCACCCAAGTCCCTGTTCTTTTCATGGGTCCTCCACCTCCCACATTCAATTCAAGGGAGAGACTGGCTTCCCAATGATTTCTTCTTATTCCTTGTTAGACAAAATTGACTATATAAACCATAATGGCTTCCCCATTTGCCTAGGATGGCAGGAAGCTCAGAGCTAAATGTGGTGGGGATATCTTTTTGGAGAGAAATCTCTGCTAGGTAAAATATGTTGTGCTGGGACTCCAGAGCTTTCTGTCCCTAACAAAACACATCTGCTCATCCCTGTTTAACTAACTTGTTTCTCTTTTATGCCTAGGTGGTTTTTGTGTTACTTTGGCCAGTCCCTAGTCCATGTCATTCAGGTGGTCCTTGGCTACTTTGTGATGCTGGCTATAATGTCCTACAACACCTGGATTTTCCTCGGTGCGATCGTGGGCTTGGGTGTGGGCTATTACCTAGCCTACCCACTTCTCAGCATGACTTAGTGGGCCAGTAGGTGCTGAGATCTGGAGAGAGCTGGGGCCTCTGCTCCAGGCATTGTGCTTCCAGCTGCTGTTTCTTATGATGGCCATTGCTCACCTCTTTCCCAGTTCCTGGCAGCATTGAACTGAAGCCAGCAAATGGTCCCTGGAGCTACCTCCCCTCCCAACCTGGACTACAAAGGGCCCAGGCCTCCTGTGGTGCCTTAAGCAAGTGGCTGTGACCAAAGGGAACATGGAGAGACTGGAACCTGGAGGCAGAGTAGCCAGGCTGTGATCATAGATCTCAGATTGCAAATTAAAATTTTCCAAAGAGCTTCAGTGAGGAAGGCCATGGAACCTGGATACCCTCTTCTGCTTTGTGCCTTAATGCCAGGGGCATCTCCAGTCTTGGGGGATGGACCATGCCAGCACCTTCTCACCATTTTGCCTTGGAACACATAAAGACTGCCATTGACAAAACAAGTTTTCACTTTGAACTCCTCATTGGCAATTCTGCACATCAATACAAAAAAAAAATGAACTCACTGTGTTCATGATGACAGCAGTGTCTGCTGAGACATGTCTCCCTTTCTTAGGAGTCTGATCTGATTAGAGGCAGAGAGACAGGACTGTTAGCAAGGCTACAGACATGTCCACTGTGCAGATGAGCTCATCTGGCAGCACTGCCCGCACCAGGTCAGTCTTGTGACCAGGGCCTTCCCCGGTCCTCTTGTGTGCATCACAGAAAACAGCATTTCCTAACAGAGCTGGCTGCCTCTTATTACTTACTTGCTGCTAACACCTAATGAGTCAGTCACTGAAGTACTGATTCAGCAGAGTTATGTTGCGGGAGGGGTGCTGACTGAGGTGCAATAAGCAGTCAAACCAAAGCCAGGTATTGTTAAGAGTTAAGTGAACTTCAGGTATTTGAGCCTTTTCACTTACAGAAAAAAGTTAAGAGACAGAGAGTTTCAGGCTAGCCTGGGATGCATGGTGAAAGGTACACACATACACACACATGGCAGTCATTGCTACATGTATAGCGTGTATATTCAAGTACCTTATTGACTCAATGAAAAGATGGTTTTAAGCTTTGGGAATTATAAACAAATACACTTTAATAAATTTCTATTTTGAACAGTTTTGGTTGTTGGTCTGTTTCTCTCTTTTCCAACAGTACACAGCTCTTACATGTTAGCACTGCAGGAGCTAGGGGAGACCAAGGACTAAGACTGCATGTAGTAAAGACAACTCTGTGTGCAGAGAAACTACATCTGGAAATGTGCCTGTTGGTAGACAGCCAGAGTATCAACTTGGTCATGTTGGGTTCATGTAACAAGTACCTGCTTGTAGTGAGGAGACATCTTGTTTGTTCCCAGCTGCTCAGCCTCAAAATAACCACACAGAAACTGTATTAATTAAATCACTGTTTGGCCCATTAGTTCTAGCCTCTTATTGGCTAGCTCTTACATCTTAATTTAACCGATTTCTATTAATCTGTGTATCGCCACATGGCTGTGGTTTACCGGCAAGGTTCTGTCCAGGGTCTCTCTCTGGCAGGGCAACATGGCTTCTCCTGACTCCGCCTTCTTTCTCCCAGTATTCAGTTTAGTTTTCCTCACCTACCTCTATTCTGCCCTGCACAGGCTCAAGACAGTTTCTTTATTAACCAATGGTATTCACAGCATACAGAGGGGAATCCCACATCACATCATCTAAGAAGAGTAACTGTCACATGAGAGTCTGTGTTCTTTGTTTCCACAATGGCTGGAAATTCAGATTTGGACGAAGCCAAGAGCCTGAACTTTTTTTTAGTGCTACAGTCAAATCTAGGGCTTGCACATGCAAGGCAAGTGCTCTACCACTGAGATACAGAGCCCTGGAATCTGTATTCCTAGCAAGCAGCATTAGTTCCAAGGACAGGTGAGGATGGTGGACAAGAGCCCAGCTTTTGATCAGCTGGGCAGGACCAGAACTCTTGTACTGCTTGCTAGCTATGGAACTGTAGACAGCTTACTCTGCTCCTCGAAGTTTGGGGATAACAGGACCAAGGGTTCAGCAGTTAACAGCACTTAACTGCTCTTGTAGAGGACCTGGGTTTGGTTCTCAGATCTCATAAGTAGCTCACGTAGTCCTCCTGGGGATTACAGGTATGTGTCCCCATTCCTGTCTCTTAACTTTTTTCTATAAAGTGAAAAGGCTCAAATACCTGGAGTTCACTTTACTCTTAACATAACCTGGCTTTTGTCTGACAGCTTACTGCACCTCAGTCAGCACCCCTCCCCCAACACATCCCTGCCGAAATCAGTACTTCTGAATCAGACTGTCTGGAATGCCCAGTGCCAGAGACTCTGATGCTTCTTCTACCTCTGCATCCACACGGTACACAGACACACATGCAGACCAAACACCCATACACATCAAATAAGAATGAATCTTTTTAAAAATGGGATAACCATGTCTTCTTCAATGACTGGCACTGTACAGACTGTCTCATCGCTACCAGTCACTGCAGAAGATACTGTTATCCATATTTTACAGAGAAAACTGAGGCTTAGAGCTTGAAGTAACTTGTTTAAATAACTGTTTAATACAGTCTTTCTCGAAGCTTCCTAGACCAAAATGTAGGAGTCAAGCACAAAACCTGCAAAATGCAGTGGAATTCAGGATACAGTGTTAAAAACATTTAAAATCATGGAACATTTTTGTTTAAAAAAAATTACTCCTTTTGGAGACTGGCTGCATGGTCTTTAGAAGATCCTAAAATAAGTAAAAGGCTACATGTATGTTCTCACTGCTCTTCTCTGCAGTAGTGTTGGCCCCTGGGGCTCACAGAACCCCTCAGGTATCACAAACAGTGGGTATTATAGACCCCCTCTTCTCTTCCCTGAATGACTTCTTAGCTTGCAGTGTAGCCCACAGGTATCAGCATAGGGTGGATATGGTCCTCATATAGCTACAATGCCCTCAGCCTTGTGCAGCTATGGTGAGCTGGAACTGAAGTCTGTGACTCTTTAAAAACCTTCAAGTTCAAGGTCAGTGCCAACAGAAATATATCACAGTGTTCTTATGCATATTAACTGACCAAGTTACAACTCCCATCCTTAGGATCCCAAGAAAGAGCATGATAACCCCAAACTCAGTTTCTCCTAAAGGGTCCAGGCCAAGTTTTATTGTAGGCATTTATTTTAGTCTTGTTAATTCCAAATACTTATTGACCTCTAAGATTTAAGGCAGAGATAGAAGATACATGTCCCAGAGCTACATGCTAGGCCAGCATGATTTCTCAATTCTCTGAGGAGACCCCTCCCCAGGCTACACGGCCTGTTGCTGCAGCTCTGGTGAGCCCTGGGAGAGCAGGAGGGCTCATGGGTCAACTTGAGAATGAATGAAAAGAAAACGCCTGGGTGAAATGGCAGGATGCTTGTGACTGGCTGCAGGTGAACCTCCTAGTCCTTCCTCCATGGTAGAGTCACTCACTGAGGGCTCTTACACCACCAGTTCTGCAGACAGGTTTATGATCCTCTTCACCATGTCAGGCAGGGGCTCAGATGACACCTAACTCAGATGTCTGAACCACTGTCCTCAGAATGTCCACCAGGACCTCACCCTGAAGCTGGCCTCGACCTTAGGAAAGGGCTGGGAGAGAAACCTGTATGCCTGTTTCCTAGGTCTTCACCCCAGCCAGTCAATGTCATCGTCATCATCATCATCTCCAAAAAGGGGTGTTGGGGGCGGGCGCCCCTTCATGCTCTGACAAAACAGGAAAGAGAGGTCAGTTCTCATGTATCCCTGCCCAGGTGGCTTCCTGCCTATGAGGGGAAGTGGTCCAATGGGTGTCCTGCCTCTGGCTGGAAAGGAGATGAACTAGAAGGACAGGCTTTGTGGCTAAAGAACTGATCCAGACAAAGCTGGGACAAGCAGGCCTTGAGGGAAGTCATCTTTTGACAGAGACAAAGACCAACTTTGCTTGGCTGATTTTGTAATTTATTTGTGAAACATGTATTGATTGGACAGATATGCCAACTTACAAGTTTTGTATGGAAAAAGAAGGTTCATTAAAGAGAGATGGGGAAAGAGAAAGAAACAGAAGCAAAGCAGCCTGGGACAGGAGAATTAAGAGGAGATGACAGAAGTTCAGAGAAGTACAATCACATTCAAAAACCAGCTGTGGCCTGAGGTGGCCAAAGATGTGGATGTAGAGGCATGCCCAAGAGATAAAGAAAGGCCACAAAGGCAGAGCCATGCTCTCTTTAATGGGAGTGTGGAATAAAGGGGCTAAAGGGTTCTAGGACCCTCTAAGAGTCCCAACCAAAGGATACTGTGTTACAGGTTCAAGTCCTCGGCTTCATACTGTTGGAAGTGGTGGAAAGCTTTTGTGATGGGCCCAAGAGGATTCAGGTGATTATAGGCTGCCCTCAAAGGGGACAGTGGAACTCCAGCCCCTCCTGCATCACTCTTTCACTTCGTGACCATTGAGAGAATGCTTTTTCTCTACACAAGTCTAATAGCAGTGGAGTGAACCCATTGTGGACTAAAACCTCTGAAAATTTGAGCCAAAATATACAGTCTCTTTAAACACTTCTGGTGTCAATAACAATGCTGACTAACACCAGGAGCCAAGTGGGAGGTTCTCTTTCCTCTTTCCATGATGGAAGCTCTGGCCTGTCATCTGCTTTTGGTAGGGGACAGCAGGACTGGAAGCTACAGACATGCAGAACATAGAACTATAGGACATATTAGGAGAAGGTTAAATGATAATATGAAGTATTTTTCTGAATACCCAAGAAACAGATGATTAACTTGATGGAACTGGCAGTAATACCATCAATATAATGCTCGTCATTTGGGATACTCTTCTTTATTTTCTATGCAGAATCTGTAGTTAGTATTCTCAAATGCAAAGTGAATTCTCAGGAAGGTATGCTAGTGGGGGGAAGATGACACCTTCTCTGCAGGCAAGAGGAAGGGCTCTGGTTCATCTGAGTTAGGTTCCAGATGTCATTGCCTTAGGGCAAAAAGCAAAATCTATACCAGATGGATGGTATAGAAGGACAATAGGCTTTGCCCATGTTCAACCTCCAGTTCTTTCCTGGATCTAATGGTCCTGTCTCCTCCACACACATTTTATGACAGTAAAATTCCCACTACACAGTCAAAATTGTCCAGTGTCAGATGGACAAGCCGGGGCTCCAATCCTGGCTCTCTCAGCAACTTCCTTTGTGGTCCCTGACTCTCCTGCTCCCTAACTTGAAGCAACACTGTCAACACTGAATCCATCTGCTGCTCAGGTGTAAGATAACAAAACAGGCAGCAGACTGGAAGTGGGCCAGGTGAACAGGAGTTCTTAGAAACAAGTGGCCCAAGAAAAGCCTGAGCTCAGTCCTGTCTACCATTAACCTCCTGCAAATGATCTTCTAACCTGTTTCTTTTTCTAGTTGGCTCTTCAGAATCCTTCCCTCCTTCCCTTACTACAAACAGGACTGATTCCCCAGGGGACAGAGATCATGATACCCTTTTAAGAATACAGTGGCAGCTGGTTATCCTCATTCTGCTTAAAGAGCTGCCCACTCTGGACCCCCAAGCTCACTCCCACACGGTCCTGTACACATAGTCCAGGAAGTAGGCCACCAACAGACTCCTTTTCTCTTCTCTGAGACTGCTGGGAAGAGCCCCCAGGTGGTGGTATGAGGACTCAGCAGAGTCTGAGATTTCCTTACCACTTCGTCTTCATCCTCTTCCTCAGGCTGGACTTTGGGCCTTGGAACTTTCAGAGTTGCCCCTTTAAACAGTTCATCCTCTTCATCCCCAGAGAAACTAAAGAAGAATCAAGCCACAGATACTGGCTGTTTCTGCCAGGGTCACAGTGCCCACCAGCTATGAAAGTCATGGCTCCTGAATTGAGACCCACTTACCCATTCAAATATCTCTTTCCACACTGTGCATACATCCCTCCAGAGACCACACCCTGTATAATCCCCTTCACAGTCCTACACTGCATTAGCCCCTCTATAGTCTAAATCCTGTGTGAGCCCCTCCAGTCTACAGCCAGCTGTAGCATACAGTGTCCCCTCTGTATGCTATGAATGTTTTATTATCATTGGTCAATAAAGAAGCTGCTTTGGCCTATGGCAGGGCAGAAT